TAAAAAGGGCATAGCAGGCCAGGAGTGGTGGCACGCATCTGTAGTCCCAGCTACTCAGGAGGCTGAGGTGGGAGGATTACTTGAGCCCAGGAATTCTAGGCCAGCCTGCGTAACATAGAGAGGTCCTGTTTCTCTCTCTTTTTTTTTTTTTGAGTCTCGCTCTGTCGCCCCGGCTGGAGTGCAGTGGCACCATCTCGGCTCACTGTAAGCTCCGCCTCCCGGGTTCACGCCATTCTCCTGTCTCAGCCTCCAAAGTAGCTCGGACTACAGGCACCCGTGACCACGCCCAGCTAATGTTTTGTATTTTTAGTAGAGACGGGGGTCTCACCATGTTAGCCAGGATGGTCTCGATCTCCTGACCTCATGATCCACCCACCTCGGCCTCTCAAAGTGCTAAGATTACAGGCATGAGCCACCACGCCCGGCCGAGAGAGCCTGTCTCTAAATAGAGAAAGAGAGAGGAAAACAAAGGGCCTAAGACAATGTTTTTTGTTTTTTGTTTTTTGTTTTTTTTTGAGACAGTCTCACTGTGTCACCCAGGCTGGAGTGCAATGGCGCAATCTTGGCTGCAACCTCCGCCTCCCCAGTTCAAGCAATTCTTGTGCCTCAGCCTCCTGAGTAGCTGGGATTGCAGGCGTGAACCACCACACCCTGCTAATTTTTGTTTCTTTGGTAGACATGGGGTTTCACTACATTGGCCAGACTGGTCTTGAACTCCTGTCCTCAAATGATCCGCCCGCCCTGGCCTCCTGAAGTGCTGGGATTACAGGCCACCACGCCTGGCCTCCTAGGACAATTTTTAAGGAGTATTTGAGTAGAGAACTGAAGGAAGTATGTGAACAAGCCAGGCAGAAGGAATGGGGAGTGCAAAGTCTCCAAGGCAGCAGCATGCTTGACAGTGTTCCAGGGACAGCAAGGAGACCATTGTGGCTGGACCTGTGAGGGAGTGGGCAGGACTAGACCACACAGGGCCATGTGGGCCTGTGTGTGTGTGTGTGTGTGTGTGTGAGACTCAATGATGAAAACAAGAGCTAATGTTTATTGTGAAGGATATTCTGAACACCTATGCAGCACAGAGTAAATGCTCAATAAACAAAAGTTCAAGAAGCCGAGGATGTAGATGGTCTGCAGGTGAATGAGACACAGAGAAGAAGGAGCAGACTCTAAATAACAGAGCTAGGCAGCACGAAGTGGGACTTGCTAGGGGAAGAGCTGCGGATTGTGCTCCCAGATGCTGTCAAGAAGGACTCTTGGTCCAGGGTCCAGGATAAAGGGCTGTCTCATGGTGCTTGGCTCATCACGCATTGAGGGCAGGCCAGGAGGTTATTCATGGGTGACTAAAGCTGGTAAATTTAGCATCTTTAGCCATTAGGCACACAGACTCTGGACTCAGCTCTCCCAGTTACTTGTTCTGTGACATTGGGCAGGCTACTTAACCACTCTGAGCCTTAGTTTCCACTTTTGTAAAACAAGAGTAATAATGCTAACTGCCCCTTCTGGAGCTGCATGAGGATTAAATGAGATAACTCAAGTAGAGCACATTGTAACAGTCAGTAATTGTTATCATTCCTGGATGCCTCGAGCCCATTAACTACTACTTATGTTCAGGCACTTGTGTGAGGACCAAAGGCTACGTCAGAAGAAACCTGACAAGCATCTCCAGGGCCCAGGAAAGCCTGGATAGGAGACTGCAGGCCTTCAGGACAGGTTTCAAGTCAAGCACTGGGATTAGGGCAGAGAAAGGAGTTGTGAGAAGTGCTTGAAGAGAAATGTAGACTTTATTGCAAACTAGGATTTGATTTTTTGGATCATGAGTTAATGAGGAAGAGCAAATCTCCCCTGGCTTGAGGGAGAATGTAAAGGGAAGGGGGTGATATGTGCAGAAACATCCTGTGCTCCATGCCCCGTATACGCCGCTCATTTAAACCTGGCTAAGGGTCTTCTCGCCTACGTAAGGAAACTCAGGCAAAGAGGCAGAGCCAGAAGTTGGAATCGACCTAATAATACTTACAGCCTAATATTTATGTGAATAACAAGGAGATCTCAGATATGACCCCTATGAGTTAAGATTCTGTTGGTTGCAAGAAGCAAAAATCAATTGGAGCCAGCTTACGTAAAAAGAGAAAAAATTAAAAAAAAAATAATATTTGGGGGAGGATCCCAGGAAGAGTCTATCCACTAAATTTCAGAAGGAACAGAGATGATGGAGAGAAACTGATGGGCCCAGCTGTGTTGAGGGACAGGACCTAGAGGACCAACATGGCTGCTAGGCACCGCATGCCTTGGAGCTGCTTCCAGAAGATGGGAATTGCTGGACCTGTGTGACACCCCCAGAGCAGTCTGAGACACGGTGGGTTTCTGCAAGATTCCAGAATGGGATGAGGCAATAAGAGAATAACTCTTAATTTTTTATTAAAAATAAATGTAATCACTTTGGAGTTTTAGTCAGGGTCATTACATAAATTTATTAAGTGCCATTGGATAAAACACAGACCACCCAGATGACATTTTTGAGGGTTCACCTATGGGTCTAGGGGATTATCTGGAGAGTACAGGTGGTAATGTATGAGGGTACTGCTCTGGTGACACTACCTGAAGGTTGGGGGACAGTGGGGCAGTGTCTGGGGGCATCATCTGAAAATGTACTTTCTGAATTATGAAGGCATTATGGAAGTCACATGACAGGAATTTAGAAAGAGAAGAAAAATGTCAGCCATAATCCCACAACCATAATTCCATCATTCTTGTCACTTCAGTTGCCATCACAGTGTTTGTGCAATTGTTTAACCTGCTTTTTTCCTGTTGGCATGAGCATTTTTATGCTGCTCATAGTCTTCACAACCATGACCATTAATAGCAACACGACACGAATGCACTTTGTATAAAATGAGCAGACTTGGCATGGGGAGGGCAAAATTGACATTTTTGTCAATAAAATACTAATGTGAATGAAAAGTCCTAAACCTGATGCCATCTACCAGCCGACCTGATTTTTAAGTCATCACCTGTTCCTGAATTCTTCATGGCCATGCTCTTCCTGCCTATTGTGATCTATGTCCAGATCTGTTGCTTCAAGATGGGAGTGTGCAAGGCATAGAAAGTAAAGCTGGAATGAGATAGAGTCCCTGCAAATTGTCTGGATGTCTAGATTGGTTCTCCACTAGAGGCACCCACCCACTGAGTGAATATTTGGCAATGTCGGGAGAAATTTATGGTTATTACAACTTGGGGTGGGAGAGGGGTGTTGCTGGCATCTAGCGGGCAAAGGCCAGGGTTACTGCTAAACTTCCTACAGTGCACAGGACACCCCCACAACCAAGAATCATCCCATCCAAAACATCAGTAGTGTCAAGATTGAGACACCCTGATCTAGACTGGAGTGGAATTTCAGTTAAAATGTTAATGGCGGCCAGGTGCAGTGGCTCACGCCTGTAATCCCAGCATTTTGAGAGGCCGAGGCAGGCGGATCACCTGAGGTCAGGAGTTCAAGACCAGCCTGGCCAACATGGTAAAACCCCGTTTCTACTAAAAATACAAAAATTAGCTGGGTGTGGTGGCGTTCGCCTGTAATCCCAGCTACTCGGGAGGCTGAGGCAAGATAATTGCTTGAACCTGGGAGGCGGAGGTTGCGGTGAGCCGAGATTGCGCCTCTGCACTCCAGCCTGGGTGACAGAGGGAGACTGAGTCTCCACATTAATTAATTAATTAATTAAGATATAGTAAAATGCTAATGAAGCCAGGCACAGTGGCTCATGCCTATAATCCCAGCACTTTGGGGGGCCAAGGCAGTTGGATCACTGGAGGCCAACAGTTCAAGACCAGCCTGGGTAACATGTTGAAAGCCCATCTGTACCAAAAATACAAAAAGATTAGCTGGGCATGGTGGTGGCTGCCTGTAATCCCAGCTACTCCAGAGGCTGAGGCACGAGAATCTTTTGAACCTGAAAGGTGGAGGTTACAGTGAGCTGAGATCTCGCCACTGCACTCCATCCTGGGCAACAGAGCAAGACTTTATCTCAAAAATAAATAAATAATAAAATGTTAATGGATGAGCACACCCTAAGTTTTGTTTTCTGCCCTTGTTTCATTTGGGAAGAATTCTGATTTTTATTTTTTGTTTTTTTGCTAAAGATTATGAGAATGAATTATAATAGGTTTGCAAAGGACTTGAAATATAGCACGAGGCAAAAGAATGCAGAGGTTAAACATAAAGACTTTGGAGTTTGAAATAATTTCATGGTTGAAATCCTGGACCACTGAGTAAACTTTCTAAGGCCTGCAAAATGGGATGACGCCTGCTTCCTAGTGCCACGGCAGGGACCAAATGAGGTCATGCGTGTGAAGCACCCAGCACACTGCCTGGTGGGGAGGGAGAGTGCCATGAATGGTGGCAGGGGGGATTATTGTGCCAAAGTTCAGGTTCACAGAGTTTATCACTTCCCTAGCCTCTAAACTGCAGTTGCATTTGGTAAATTCTTATTTCAGGAAAAATAGGTTTTAACTGATTTTTGTGATCTGGGCTTTTGAGATCTAGGCAATGTAGAACAGATATCTGACCTACGTAAATTTTATATTATGAACTTTTTGGGTGTGAGTTGTCTAACTGAAATATCTAGTATATTTTTCTGGTGATCTTTCTTTTAAATAACTTATTGTGTATTCTCAATTAAGAATTCCTGGGTTTTGGCTGGGCGCGGTGGCTCACACCTGTAATCCCAGCACTTTGGGAGGCCGAGGCAGGCGGATCACGAGGTCAAGAGAGCAAGACCAGCCTGGCCAACATGGTGAAACCCTGTCTCTACTAAAAATACAAAAAATTAGCGGGGCGTGGTGGCAGGCTCCTGTAATCCCAGCTACCTGGGAGGCTAAGGCAGGAGAATCACTTGAATCCAGGAGACAGACGTTGCAGTGAGCCGAGATCGCGCCATTGCACTCCAGCCTGGGCAAAAAGAGCAAAACTCTGTCTCAAAAAAAAAAAAAAAAAAAAAATTCCTGGGTTTTTGTTTGTTTGTTTTTAACATTCTTCATTGGTTATTTTGTATCTATTGAGAATTTAAGAGTGGACCAAGCTAAGGTAAAGATTGCTGTGTATCTGGACAAAATTATTGTTCACAGATACGATAAGAATCTTCAGTGCAGTGTAAGGAGATCTTTTATCCCCCATCCTGAGCTAAGTGTCTGATTATCAAAAAGCAGGAGAAGGGCCCAGCGTAGCTCGAAGGCTGGCAATCACTTTATGTTCTACAGCTTGTTCTTGTGTGTCTGAGAATCCATGAGGGGCATTGAACATCCCTTATGAAAAGCATCCTGGGCTTCCTGGGGGAGGCACATTCTTGAGTTCCAGTAGATGGAAAGGGCACACCCAGGACAGCCTGGTGCAGGGGCCATTGCTGGAGGCTGACATGGGCACATTGAACAGGCAAGGGTGGAGAGGGTAGGGTGGGATATGCAGGAATTCTGGCCTCCAAAGAAGAAAGAGGAGAAAGGAGATCCACAGGGTAAGAGCTGCTCCTGACACGGCAAACACTGGTCCTGGAGAAGGAAGATGCAGCCAAAGAGCACAGGGGTGCAGAAAGGGGGGCTTGGGGATTAAGCCTGTTTTTGCCTTTGGAAAGCTGACTCATAGCAGAATATTCACAGCCCTTCCAAGCCGGCATGTTCCTCCTTTCGCTCCTCCTCTCATCCACCCTCAGCATTGTCATGAGGCTCCGTGCTGTTTTTATGAGTTCCTGGATGCTTTGGATCCCCTGGGAGTCCTGGCTGGGAAAGACCACTTCTTTCTTCTTCTGCTGGCCTGTGCTTTGGGGCCCACTGCAGCCCCTGGAGGAGGGCAGAGGAGCACCCATGTGTCATCTTCATTCATGGCCTTGATCTATCACATTTCATTGTCTTTTTGTGAGCCATTTCTCTTCTCCCCAGAACTTTCAGTGAGCTGAAAAGATAACGGATATGCAATAATTGGTTTGGGTTCTATAAATAGTGTAGAAGAAGAAAAGGGAGAGGGTTATAATAAAAAACAATGTGTGGGAACGTAGTTATTGAAAAAGTGTGAAAATCGGGGGTTGAGAGAAGGGACAAAAGTGAAGCAAACGGCGGAAGAAAGACAATGTGTCTGCAATGCAGCCTTGGTGGGATGAGGCGAAGTCAAAACCAGCAGGCCTTGGAACACGCTCCTGAGATGAGGAGGAAGCACTGAGGGAGCCGGGCCAGAGGATCCTGGAAGTTTTGCATTAGCCTGGGGCCTTCTAAGCTGTAAAACTACAGATCACATAGGATGTTTGGGGAGCGTTAAAGCATCTTTCAGGAATTCCCAAAAGTTGTTGGAAGATTTGTGTGTATTGGAAATTTGTGGTTTTTCTAGGATGAGGGTACAGAACCACCCGCGTTAGTCCATTTGTGCTGCTATAACAAAATACCCAAGACTGAGTACTTTATGAAGAACAGAAATTTACTTCTCACAGTTCTGGAAGCTGGGAAGTCCAAGGTCAAAGTAGCAGCATTTTCCTCACTGGTAAGGGCTGCTCTCTGCTTCTGAGATGGTCCTTTGTTGTTGCACCCTCTGGAAGGGGAAAAGCAGTGTCCCTGCAGAAGGAGGAAGGGCAAGCAAAGGAAGCTGAACACTGTGCAGTGTGAAGCCTCTTTTATAAGGACTTTAATCCCATTCGTGAGGAGTGGAGCCCTCATGACCTAATCACCTCTTAAAGACCCCGCCTCTTAATACCATCACATTGGCCATTAAGTTTCAACATCTGAGTTGTGGACATGACATATTTAAACCAAAGCACCACCCAGGCGGCAGCTGCATGCAGAAGCCTAGATCATGAGAGGAGCTGGACCTCTAGACTGGGAGAGTGGTTAGCATGGAGGTGGTGGGGCAGGCCCTGTGTGGGTGGATGGTCCTGGATGGGTACAGACTGAGAACAGAGCCTCAGATGACTCCTGGCAAACAAATAAGAGGCCCCAAGTGAAAGGGGATCCAGAAAGAGCTGGAAAGCTGAAAGGGAAAAACCTGGGAAAGAGTGTTATACAGCAACCGAGAGAAATGGGAGTTTCATAAAGAGAGAGTGAATAACAGATCAGATCATGTAAGAAAAGACCTACAGGGGTTTATCGGATGTCAGTAACGGTATGGTCAGTGGCGTCTGTGGTGGGAGCTGTTTCCCTGCAATGGTGTGGTAGGAAACCAGGTGGGGGTATGAAGGGAAATGCCAGGAGAAGGAAGGAGAGAGCTAGTGCCACCTGCTCTTTGAGAAGGTCAGCTTGGAAAAGGAAACCTACAACACTTACTGGGAGTTGGAAGCAGGATCAAAGAGTTATTTTTCCTTGTCTGGTTTTTTTTTTTTTCAAAAACCCAGTCTTAGCATGGGTGCAGCCTGATGGAAAGAAGCCGGGACAGGCCAGGGGAGAAGGGTGCAGGAAAGAGAGTGGACAACGGTAGAGCAAAGACCTGGAGCATATGGAATGGGATGGAATGCAGAGCCCATGGTGCAGCTTTGTGCATCGGCCTGGAGGATGACAGTTGAGACAATTCATGCCTGGTAAGCTCTCTTCTCCGTGAAATGGGAAGCGTGCTCAGTCCTGAAGGGACTGGGCCAGGGAAAGGGTGAATTGCCCAGGGAATTGGGGCGAGGTCTACGGGACTGAGCAAGCAGTTGCTACTGGAAACCATATGTTGGTGGCAGCTCCGGGCATCTTGCCTGGGCATTTTCTCCAGCAATGAGACTACCATGGATGCCCCATTCTACCAGCCAGGCTCCTCCTCCCAGCCTCCTGGGACCCAGCCCCTGCCTATCTACCCACTGCCCCTTCAAGAAAGTGTACCACGCCGGGCAGGGGGTGTGTGTGTGTATGTGTGTGTGTCAACACCTGTCAACACCCCATTGCCTGAAATGAGTCCAGCCTCGTTTGAAAGTTCTCATCACGTTAACCCAAAACCCACTTCCCAGGCAGTCTGTGTTTTGGAGTCCTGATAACTTCCACAAAGCTGTTTTAATTCTACCCTCCAAAATCAGACCAATCTAGGTTTGAATCCTATTTCTGCCCCTCATTAACTCTCTGTCCTTGGGCAGAGTTTTCCATAACTGTTTTCCAGTTTCCTCAACTGTAAAATCAGAATAATAATACCGTCTTATGAGGTCATTGAAGGATTAAATGAGAAGGCGTGTGAAGCATTTTGTACAATGTCTGGCTTATAGTGTGAGATCAATGCACGATCACCATAATAACAAAAAATTAGAGATGATCCCTGATGTTAATCTTATTAAGGTTAACAATAATTATAATCACAGTTCTGCAAATATCTGATGTCCGTGATGTTGCCATGAAACTCTGTTTTCTAGTTTAAAAGTCTCCAGTTCTTTTGACATTTTCTGCTGGGGAAGTTTTCAAACAGCAGCTCTGTTGGAGGGAAGTGGGTCCCACGTCTCTGGAGGAATGCAAGCAGAAAATGGAAGGTCACTCGGCAGGGATGGGACTGCAACTTGTGATTGAGGCTCCAGCTGGCAAATCCTAGGGGCCCTTCCCAGCCCTATGTCCTTCCAACCTTCTGACTTAAAAACAAGGTCAGAAAATGAAGTGTGCACTAAATGCTACTCAGTATCATAATAGTTATCACTGTCGAGGCCAGGGTTTTAATAGAAACGTCTATCTTCTAAACTCTAAAATTAATGGAGAGTGGTCTCATTAATCTACAAAACTTCAACAGCATCATACTTGATTCCTAGAGCTGTAAAGGTATGTAAAGTGTTACTTTTCTGGATACAAATAATAGCAACACTTGTATAGATAGTACTTATCCTTTAAGTTCTGCATATTTCACATGTATTAGTTTCCTTAGTCTTCATGAAAACCGATGAGGAAGGTACTGCTGTTATCCTCATTTTATAGAGGGGGAAACTGAGGCTCAAGAGGATGCATGACATTCTTTAGGCCACCGTGCTGGGGAGTGCCAGAGCAACGCTTGAACCCAAGCAATCTGGCTTCAGAATACTTTCTTGACCACTAAGCTATACTGCCTCTCTGGTGAGGATGGAAATTGTAAACATTTCCTTTTGAGATTTTGTTCCTTTTGCCAGAAAAGCTCAAGCCACTTAAACCAGAAATGAGTTCATTTTCTAGCTACAGTCTTTGAAACCACTTTGTTCAGCCCCCATACCACAGATGAGGATGCGGAGACCGGCTGAGTTTGGGCCTTGCCTGGAGCCCAGGTCTTTGGTTCTCTGCATAGTAGCTTCTCCACCCACCATGCTGTTGATCTTTGTCACTTCTCTTCAAGGGGTTGAATCCATCCCCCTCTTGGGCATTGAGCCCCGTTTTCTGACCTTGCTGGGTGCTGACAGAGAGGGTCAAGGGAACACAGTTTCCCCATCTCAGAGACTGGTGTTTCTGGGCCACAGTCAACAGGCCTCATCTGAGCCTTTCCAGAGGAGTGGACTCAGTCCTGTTGGTGAGTAGACGCCCCTCTAACCGGGCACCTTGATTCAAACAGGCCCTTCCAGGCCACATGGGGTGGCTCTTTGCTGATCTGCCCCCAGCTTTATCTGTTTGTGCTGAAACCAAATAAACAATCTCACCACTCAGGAAGGGTTAGGAGTAAATTGGGAAATCGCTATCAGAGGAACAACTTGATTGGGAACAACTCCAGATGAGTAATTATGACTTCAAAGGGAATTCGCTGAGTCGCTGCAGCTTTGGAAGAGGGACTCTTCACGTGTAAACGGGGCCATCTCACAGCTTTGAGTCTAATAATTTAATTAGCCCCATAGATAGTTAGACGTTATCAAAGCCAGTGCAGCATGTCAAATAGAAAGTTTTACAGTCGCCGTGCGGGCGCCTTCATGATCCGTGTTTGTGAATACCAGATATCCTGAGCTGTCTGCAGAGGCTGCAGTGCTGATCAGGGCTCCCCAGGGCTGCACCAGAAACCCTCTTAGCATCTCACCAGGTACCTGTTTTCCATCTGATCTGAACTGGGAAAACTCTGCAGTTCAGCTCTCAAATTTTAAAAATCAGTTTTATTCATTTGACTGTTTTCGAACATTTTAAACATACACAAATATAGAGAGAAGGGTCATGAAGCCCCATGGACTCCAACATTCAGCTTCAATCATTGTCCACATTTTTTCCCGCTGTTTTTTGTTTCCTCTGGCCTTCCCTGCCCCCCAAAACAATTCTATTTAATTGCTTGTTGGTTTTTGCTGAAGTATTTTAAAGCAAATTCCTGAAGACATATCATGTCATCCGTAAATACTTCAGGATTGATCTCTAACCAACAAGTCCTTTAATAAAAACGTAACGTGCCAGGTGTGGTGGCTTATGCCTGTAATCCCAGCACTTTAGGAGGCCAAAGTGGGAGGATCATGAAACCAGCTCAACGGTTCCATAGAACTGATGTTTATGGTTTCTTTAAATAAACACATAAATTAATCCTCCCAGTCTTTTTGTTTTTGTTTTTGTTTTTTTTGAGACAGGTTTCTCTTCTCTGTCATCCAGGCTGGAGTACAGTGGCACAAATGTGGCTCACTGCAGCTTTGACCTCCCAGACTCAAGGGATCCTCCCACCTCAGTCTCCCAAGTAGCTGGGACTACAGGCACTCACCACCATGCCCAGCTACTTTTTGTAATTTTTTGTGGACACGGGGTTTCACCATGTTGCCCAGACTGGTCTCAAACTCCTGAGTTCAAGCAACCCACCTGCCTCAGCCTCCCACAGTGCTGAGATTACAGGCCTGAGTCACCATGCCTGGCTGGGCCCTCCCAGTCTTAAAACTTGAGAAAGTTACATTTGTCTTATCTGAGTTTCATTCTCAAGAAACCAACCATCAAACCTCCCAGATGGTATCAAGGAGCTGAAATGTACCAGATCACTGCGTCCTGACAATAAGACATCAGACCCTTCACCCCTCATGATTACCTAACTGACCACCTGCTTCCTGTTAACCAACTTCTCTTCCTTACCCCTCCCTAATTCCTGTTTCCCCACACACGGTTAAATTTCTTCCCTGCAATATAGACCCCTAATTTTAGTCAGTCAGGGAGATGGGTTTGAGACTGGCCTCCCATTTCCTTGGTGGCAGCACCTGATTAAAGCCTTCTTCCCTGGCAGTACTCATTGTCTCAGTGATTGGCTTTCTGTGCAGCAAGTGGCAGGACCTAGACCAAACCCCTGGCATTTGGTAACAATCACTTGAAGCCAGGAGTTTGAGACCACCCTGAGCAACACAGCAAGACCTTGTCTCTGTATATTTTTTTAAAAGTATTTATCACAGCTACCACTACCCAGAACTCCTTAACATCATCTAATATCCTGTCTGAGTTCAATCTTCCCCAGTTGTCTCAAAAAAATGCCTTTTAACAGTTGGTTTATTTGAATAGAATCCAAATAAGCTCCACACATTGCCTGCCTGTCTCCCTTTCTTCCTTCCTTCCTACCTTCCTTCCTTACTTCCTTCTTTCCTTCCTTCCTTCCTTTCCTTCCTTCCTTCCTTCTTTCTCTCTCTCCCTTCCTTCCTTCCTTCCTTCTTTCTCTCTCTCCCTTCCTTCCTTCCTTCCCTCCCTCCCTCCCTCCCTCCCTTCTTCCTTCC